AGAGAGAGAGAGAGAGAGAGAGAGAGAGAGAGAGAGAGAGGAATCACTTGAAGAATAATCACAAAAATCCCCCAATTTTTCATAAACAATGGTGATACACATCAAAGAATCTCAGTGAACTCTAGCATGGACCCAGCATACTACAACCAAACCTTTCAAAGAAAAAAACAGAGAATTTTGAAAGCAGCAGGAGAGCAGTGACTGATTATGCACAAAGAGTCCATGACAAGATTATCATTAAAAAAAAAAACAAGATTATCACGAGATTTTCACCAGAACCTTTGAAAGCCAGAAAATGTTGTTCTCTGAGCTATAACAGTGGTGTAGGAAAACAAAATCACCAATGAAAAGTAAACCCATATCCGTGCTGTCCTTCCAAAGTATGGGAGAAATGAAGACGGGCTCAGATGTTAAAAAGAAGCAGAGAGTGTTTGTGACCCTGGGCCCCCTGCGTGGATGCTCAGGAAGCCCCACACATCGTAATGAAAGGGCACTGGGTGGCAACTCAGTGCTGTACGAAGAAGTAAGAATCTTAGTAAAACTGAGATTTTACTGAGCAGCTATGAAATACTATTATTGTAACAATGACATGTAAGTCCCACTTTTGTTTACTATGTGTTTTGAAAGAGTAATAAATTAAACAATTAATGCTTAATGTATTTTTCTGGGAGCACAATATGCAGAGATGTATTTTTTTGTGACATCATAAATGAAAGCGGTGGAAGCTGTTATGGGTCACTCAGAATAGGAACCAAATCAGCCAGATTGGAATTTGGACATCCATTTATTACTGAGCTCAGGGTCCCCTGTCTGCTCTCATGCAGGAGAGGACCGAGAAAGGTGGCAGCCCAGGAAGCAGAAAGGGGTTTTAAACCCTGGAACCACATTGAGTTTGATAAGCAAATTCATTGAATGACCACATTCAGTTTGGTAAACAAATTCATTGTCTGACACAAAATAATGCTTTCAGAGTGATTGGCACCACAACTCAAGCTACAGTTCCAGGGCTTTTGTTTCAGTTTCTGGTTAATTTTCACCTGAGTATCTGCAGGCGGCCTTGCATAGCCCAGACATTACAAGAAGATAAAGCCCATTTAGTTTCCTTTGTCATCTCTGTAAGCTAACTTTGCAGACAGGAATCAGTGAGGGTCACAGGAATTTTATCTAGCAAACAGCAAGAAACAGCCACTAGTTACTAAACAACTTAGAACAGTGGTAAGTATACATTTGTACACAACAGAAAACACAAGATTTACATTTATAATCTAAAATGTGAGTTGACTCATTACAGAAGAAAGCTCTAAAAGAGCAGTTTTTGTGTATCTGAAGTTGGGCTTGTATACATTCTACTTACAGTGTTTCACTCTAGGATTTTAAATGTAATTTCCCTGGTTCTCACAAACAAAAAGACTAGAATACGGAGTACTCAAAAGGAAACGGATATCACTGAACAAGATAAACTGAACAGTGAGGCAATGGCAGTGTAGGAAATGAAGAGCTAAGAAGCCCACAAATAGCAATAGCACAATGAAATAAGTTAATAAGTAGCTACATAATCTCTCATTATGAGTAATCACTTCAAGTGTAAATGAATTAAATTCTCCAATCAATAGGTAGAGATTGGTAGAATAGAGCACCCTCTCCACTAAAGATCACACTGTGTGCTGTCGGTCACACCCAAACTCAGCAGGCCTGCTTGCTGGGTTTGAAGGTTCAGGGAGCCCCCAAGAGACAGGCTTCTTTGAGCAAGGTGATGCCAGGGGTGGCAGCACAAGCACCCTGCATGACACAGTCAGCAGTGGTCCCTCTGAATGCAGGACTGGAATGGCTGTGGAGGTCCCCTGCCCAACACCCTGTCAGTGTGCCTGTCATAAGGAATGTAAAGTTTCCCCAGGACAGAATCTCAGAGCTGGGTCCATCTCCGGGTCCACGTAGCAGAGGGAAGCTTAATGGCTTAATCTCCTGAGGCTGCCATAATGGATGACTGGGAGTGTAAGGGCTTAAATATACCCTTAAAGTATAAGGGTGTATTTGCTGTTTACAAGAGGGTCGTTCAAGCTGGGGTCAAGGTATCAGCAGAGCTGTTCCCTGAGGCTCTGGGGAGCATCTTGTCCTGCTCCTTTACTATTTGAGAGCCCTCCCTGGTGTGACCCTCTCTTTCCTGTCCTTACCTTACCATCTCTGCCTTCCTGAGCTTCCATCCTGCCTTTCATAGAGACTTCTAATGACCCTCAGGGCCACCCAGGTAACCAAGATGACCTGGCCAGGTTCAGACCTTTGTCTGACTCACTGGCCAGGAGGAAATAGACTAATAGGATCCTGGGATGGAGAGGAGGAATCTCTGAGCTGTTGCTGTGTACCAACCTAGCAACTTTCCACCTCTGTTTGGGTTGCCTTAGCCCCAACAAAGACAACAAGCAGAGCTTCCTGGCTGGACTGTGTGGCATGAGTCAAGATATCACCTGACTCGTTACTAGGGATGGGCTGTCCTATTGGAGCTGACCCCTGACCTCCCCATGACAGGTGAGTTAGCACAACCTGGAAAAGGTGGCTGGGCCTTGGGCTCTATGACTGGAGGCTGTGGCAGTGGCCAGGGCTTCTCCTGGGCACAGAAAGGTTCAGGGGGATGTATGTGGGCCTCAGAGTATGCTGCTCTCTGCTGTGACCTGGGAAGAGGGGCTTGCTGTGTGTGGCTATCACCAAGCTCTGGTGTGGCTGCCCTGTCACTTGGGACTCTCCCAGAGCTGTTCTGGGCGTCCTGACTGGCACATAGAGGCTGAGGCTGGGCTCATATCCAGGGCATTCCCAAGCTTCTGCTCTGCCATCCTCTCTGCTGTCCTGGGCATGCTCACACTCAGTGGAATCTATTCTTCCTGTTTCTACACTTTGAAGCAGAGTCAGGATTGAAATACCGCAGTGTCTGTGTTAGTTGACTATTTCTTCACTCTTGGTGGGATGTGAGGTAGGGGTGCCCTGAAGCTCTGGGGTGTGGGTGGAGAACAGACTTCATCTCTTGGGTGTCCCTCCCATAGTGGCCCAGTCAGGAGGCGAGGCCATCTAGCCTTCTCCCAGAGCCACTGTGACCACATCAGTCCAACCAAATCAAATTTGCAATAGGGCCCAGTTTACATTCCCAAGTGTCATGAAATGGATTGGTTTTCCCTCAAGTTCCAACGTTGAGACCTTGAGAACTCTCTGACCTCAGAAGGTGGCCATGTTTGCAGATGGCCCTTTGGAGAAGTGATTGAGTACAGTGGGGTCACTAAGGAGGGCTCAACTCAGGATGACTGGGGTCCTTATAAGAAGAGGAGATTGGTTCCTAGACATACACAGAGAGACAAACACATGAGGACACTGAGAAGATGGCCGTCCACATGGCAGGGAGAGAAGCCAGGAGGAGCCCTCCCTGTCCTCAGTGTACCTCAGATTCTAGGCCATAGAGCTGTGAAAAGATTCATTTCCTGGTTTTGGCCCTATCTGTGGCATTTGTTACCATGGACAAGAGCACAGTGTGCCCTGGACAACAGGCCCCAGCAAGGTTCAGAGCACTGTGGCCAGGATGACGAAGGGCACGGAGGCCTTCCAAGGGAGCCCTAACAGGGGAGGCTGCTTGGGGGTGGAGCATGCCTGGTCGATTCCAGAGGTATTTACAGTCTCACCACACCCCTGGGATGACACATGAGGGAGTGAGGAGTGACTGAGGAGCTGGCATTCTGCCTGCCCAGCCGTGGCAAGCATTATAAAGACCCACACGCAGGGCTCTGGGTGCCCTGCCTGCCCATCACCTGCCCCAGCCATGAGGACTCCCCTGCTGTGGCTGCCTCTGCTCCTGCTCGTGGTGCCAGGTGAGCCAAGGGGATCCTAGTCCTGGAGATCCAGGGTCTTGGAAGATGGTGGCTTCTGACTTGTTGATGTGGACAGGCTCCGGAATGCCATGGTCCTGCCTCCTAGAGCAGAACCAGGGTCAGTCGGGTGCTTGCCAGCAGCCCACTGCCTCCCTCACTACTGGGCTTCTCTTGTGCTGGGAATGGTGGTACCTCCGGCTGCTCATAGCTGTGGCTTCCTGCCTTCAACATGGGATGCTGGGGAGCCTGACAGCGAGCTGCCTCCAGCCCCAGGGTATGCAGCAGAGGCTGTACACAAGGCACACTGGTGGGGAGGGGGCTGGTGGAGAGTGCCTCAGCTGGTGCTTTCCAGGGGTGAGGTCTGTCCTGTGGAGCTGTGCAGCTGGAGGCCTCAGTCTCTGACCCCAGGTCTGTCCCTCAGTCCAGGCACTGCAGTGTCACCAGTGTGTTGCTAAAGAGGATTGTCTCCAACCTGTGTCCTGCCCAGTCAACACCCGCTACTGCCTGACTACATGGAACAGTGAGTGTCCCCCTTCCTGTGGCACCTTTACCTGACACTTGTGGACCCAGAGAGCTAGGCCCGTGGACAGGGTCCCAGGGAGCTGGGAGGACACGTGTGTAATCCAGGGCTGAGATGTGCCAGCAGTGCTTTGACACATGCTGTTAGTTCCTGTCCCTGTCTTTCCTCCAAATTGGGAACACCCCAGAGGCCTGCTTCCTAAAGGCCTGGGAAGGAGTGGATGTGCTAGCCCACGTGACCTGAGCCGCACCACCCTGGCACACAGGAAACACCAGGTTCAAATGGCTCCCGGAGCACTGGCTCTCAGAAAGGAAGAGGGAGAAGCCCGGCTGTGCGTCACAACCCTGAATTTGCTCACACAGCGAGCCCTGAGTCTGGTTTCACATGGACCACTGAGCATGCTTCCACACTGTGCCCTCATCCTGGTCCTCCACTGAGCCCTGACTGATTGCACACAGCCCTGAGGATGGCCTCACACTGAGCCTTGCCCATGGTTACACACGGAGCTCTGAATCTGGCCCCACACTGAGCCCTGAGCCCTGAGCCTATTCAGGTCACACATGGAGCCCTGGCCCCAGTCACAAGCTGATCTCTGATCCTTCCAACCTCTCAGTATGTCCCTGTGGGATCAGAAAACAATGAGAAAGGGTCAAGCAGGGTGTCAGGTATGAGCTTGGTGAGAGAGGTGGGGATGGATTTCACAGGTCTCCATAAATGGCTCTGTCCTATGTTTTCCAGGTCCCCCAGGCCAGAAAACCATTATCATAAAATCATGTGCTTACACCTGCCCTGGGTTCCAAGAGAGCCTGGCTGCCTCCAGGGCCTCCTGCTGCAACACGGATCTCTGCAACAGCACAGTGAGCCACAGCGTCAGCTGGGGGGTGCTGGCTCTCAGCATCTTTGTCGCCTACCTCAACAGGTAGCCACGGAGCTGCAGAAGTAGCAGCCTGGAGCCTGATCTCACGTGAAGACGTGCTTTGTGTTCTCAGATGGGCACTTTCCATCCCTCACTGGGAGGATTCCTGGGGAGGACAGCTACAGACAAGGGGCCTTACGGAAGATGTGCCCCTCAGTCTCCCTGCTGCTATCCAGGGTGCTTCTGTGGGATTCCTGGCTCAAGAACTGGCCATCTGCTGGCTTCCAGGTGCTGGTACAATTAGGTGGTTGGGGGCCATGGACCTGTTACTGAGCCAGGGTTGAAGCACATGCCCATCCTCATTTAGAGGCAAGCATCAGCTCTCCTAACTACCTCAGAAACCCTGGGTCCTTTAAAGATACCGTTGCAGCTAGTGAAAAAGTAAGAAAAGATCTCTTAAAAACAACTACGATGCAGGAAAAAAATAATTCAATACGTGCAAGATGATGCAAAGATGAACAATGTGAGACTAATAGGCATCAATGAGAAGGAAGGAGTCAATACAAATG